TAAAACATAGATTAATGGTCATGCTAGATATTAGTTAAACTTAGAGCACCCGTCAAACAAGTCAAACTATTCAAACTCGTCAAACAAGTCGGAGTTTGACGAGTTTGACGTGTTTGACGTGTTTGACGTGTTTGATAATGAGTGTTAAATTTGTTTTTGCAGGTACCTTTTGTGTATGATTTTAAGGACATTCATATGGCTCATAAGATCACGACGAAATGTTATCCATATCAGACTGTTAGATCTCTTAAAAAGGCCTTGACGGATGAAGAATTTACATATTTCAAAAAAGAATCCCAGTTTCGGCATATTTTCCATCTTGGATGTAAGGACACATTGAAGATAGTTCTGGCATCAGTCCTTTTACATCGGGCACTAAAATTGGAAGGAGAAGTGAAACAGCTATGGTTTGTTCTGAATGGCGTGCCCATCAGATATTCGATCACCGAGCATGCGATTATCTGCGGCCTAAATTGTGAAAAGTATCCACAAGACTGGGTTAAATGTAAGGGAATCCAGTTTCGGATGAAAATGTTTGGACATTCAAAGGTGACAACATCCGAAGCGATAAAGAAGCTGTATGCCACTCCAACCAAAGATGTGGAGGATAGGAGAAGATTAGCAATAATCATATTGTTAGGCGGAGTATTAGACCATGGAATCAAGAACAATGATGTGATTCCAAATGATGCAGTTGACATGGTCAACAATCTGGAATTTTGTGAAGGGTTTCCTTGGGGGAGATACACTTTCGAAAGAACAATCGATCATATACTGAAGTTGTATGTAAGCAGTCCTACACCGAGGGCTCAGTGGCACTTTCCTGGATTTGTAATACCTCTTATGGTGAGTTACTTTTTTTATCATTGTTTTATTTATTGTGATTGAGTATTTGATTGATTAGTTTGTATGTATATTGCAGTTGCTTCCTTTTGAATGCGTGAATAGTTTAGGCGCCAATGGATGGTATATAGATGTGAAGGATGCCGATCCCACATGTCCTAGGATGTGTAAGAAGCAAATCCAACCGGGCCTTTATGTCACACTTGCAAATGTGATTAGACAGATCGGTGTGGATTCACAGGTATGTATAGATCGATTACATTAGTTATAATAGATGACATTTGACGAGTTTGACGATTTTGACGAGTATGACGTGTTTGACGAGTTTGACGAGTTTGACGAGTTTGACCATAATCCGGATCACTGATACCAAATCTGTTAAAATGTTCTCAGGGTATTCGAAGTGTTCTTCAATTAGATGAGGAAGAGGAACATATGTTTTTTAACATACATGAGGATGAAAGTAGTCATCCGTTGGTGCAAAGTTGGATGCAACAATTGAGGTTGAACCCGTCAAGTATTTGTTATGAGAACATTCGTGAGATCGATGTTGGTGGTAGGGCGGAGAGAAAGAAGAAAGAGAAAAGAAAGAAACAAAGAGAAGAAGAACGAGAAGAAGAAGGAGAAGGAGGAGGAGAAGAAGGAGAAGAAAGAATAGAGGAAGAGGAAGGAGAAGACGAAGAAGGGGAAAAAATATCTTTCAAAAAGATGTTGAAGAAGATTGTAAAAGACTCCGAAAAAAGAATAATTGCAAGAGTTGAGAAGAAAGTAATTGAAAAAGTGAAAAGAATTCTGGAGAGGGCAGGAATCAATGTGGAAGGAGTCGATTGGTCTGAGATACAAGACAACGAGTTCGAGTTTAGATCTCGTTTTTCGGATGAGAATGTAGACCTTCCACATAACGAGCAAGGTATGGTGTTACACGTTAGACTTTATTTTGGCAAACCGAGTTAGGGGGAGTTAGATTGGTTTGGGTCTTTTGATTGACGAGTTTGACCAGTTTGACTCTTCTGGTTGACGAGTTTGACTGATATTCATATAATTGGTCATATGTAGGACAACAATCTGTGCAAGAATCTAACAATGATCAAGAGGATATAGAAATTGCACAGAACGAGTAAGGTATGATCTTACACTACACTTTATTTGGGTAGCCCGAGTTAGATTGGTTTGACTCTTTTGGTTGACGAGTTTGACCGGTTTGACTCTTTTGGTTGACGAGTTTGACTGATATTCATATAATTGCTCATATGTAGGACATCATCAATCTGTGCAAAAATCCGATAATGATCAAGAGGATATAGAAACTGCACAAAACGAGCAAGGTATGATTTTACACTTTACACTTTATTTGGACAACCCGAGTTAGATTGGTTTGACTCTTTTGGTTGATGAGTTTGACCGGTTTGACTCTTTTGGTTGACGAACGAGTAATGTATGACTGATATTCATATTGGTCATATGCAGGAACTGATGATGAAGAAGATGATAGTGATGCGATTCCCCCTACTCCTAGAGCAGTATCTAATACTATTTTGGGTTCGACTGATGATGATGATGGAGGGATACTTGCTCAGGAAAAGGAGGATGTAGAGGTCCCTGCTGCTCCCAAGGATCCAGTTCAGAGTAGTAAACGACCGAAGAGGAAAATAAAGCCAACTCTTAAAAGTCCATATACTACTTTGGGCTCGACTGATCCACCCTCCAAAAAACGACGGGCAAAGAGAGAGACAAGAGGTAGAAAAGGAAAGAAGGACAAAGATCGTGTAGAATCTGCATTGGTCCCAGTACAAGAAGGTGTTTCATGCCCAGTACAAGAAGGTGCATTGGTGCCGATAGAATCCGCATTGGTGCCGGTGCCGATATCTGTAGCTCCTTCGGGTTATGTGTGGATACCTCGACAGCCTATGGTCTATGACAATGTTGTGCGAGTTGAAAGTTTTATTGAGACAAACACAAGAAAAGCGACTGCTCTCTTCAAGTTTATGCAAAAACCGAGACAAGAGAGGTTATGGATGTCGGGGCTGGAATATCTACGAACCCCACAGTTTTGGGAAGACCTTCTACAAGAAGGTGTATGGCTCAATGATCAAGTAAGTGTTTTCACATATAGTTTGATCAGTTTGACGAGTTTGACGACTGTTTGACCCATTTAACTGTTTGTTTTCACAGCATATCGATGAAGCCATGTATGAAATCCGGAAACGTGTACCCCAAATTGAACCAAACAGTCAGAGGTACCTTCTTTGTGATGTGCAGTGTTGTGAATGCTTCAAATGGTGGAAATTGGGACAGAAAGATCTCGGCCTTCTTGGACAATTCATGAGTGGGGAATTACCAATTGGCGGTGGTAACAAAAAATTGGACCAATACAAAGGTTTTATCAGTGTGTTGAACATTCCGTCATTGGTAGATCCTAATGTAAGCGTCCATTGGGTCACTATTAGAGTGGACTACAGGAGTACGGTGATTCAAGTGTATGACTGCAACCCGAGAATGAATGAGGCAACAATTAAAGTGATTCATCACTTATGCAGAAGTATCCCAGAGGCATTCATGATTAGCGGGACTGGTCGAATTGACGTTTCGACCTTGTTTTCCATCGAGCTAATCTCTAATCTACCTCAGAACGTTACAGGAAATGAATGCGGCATATACAGCATCAAATATGCAGAGGCACTCTATAGGAATGATCTCACCTTATTGGATAAGTTGAGCGACAAGGTGGTGTATTCTATTCGCGAAAAGATTGCATCTGATATATTTGCGAATGGCAAGGAAGTGTCTGTGTCTACCGAGGAAGGCTGAGATTCTTCTCCGTACTATTTCATTTGTTAAGAACCTCTTTAATTTATTAGTATTTTATTTCTTAAGAACCTCTTTCGGATTAAGTTGTATCTGACCAGGTTTAAAACCTCTTTCGTGATAAGAACCTCTTTAATTTATTAGTATTTTATTTCTTAAGAACATCTTATTAATTACGTCAAACATGTCAAACACGTCAAACTCGTCAAACACGTCAAACTCGTCAAACTCAGGAACCCCAAATGTTCTATTACACTTTATGTTACACATTGGTCTAGGGTAGAATTTATTATTTTTCCAGATGCTCTCCTTATAACAAAAACACGCTCAATACGTCATAATAGACCCTATACACAACTTTGAACCATCAGAATTTAATTTTGACCACAGGTTGACCGCGTTGACTCGTCAAACTCGTCAAACTCGTCAAACTCTATGATTTGGCGAATTTGTCAATTCTGAACCATGAGCATATCAATAAACACCCCGTATAACAAATTTGATAGGCAAAAAACAATCGGAGCTAACTTAATTGAACACCTTATTTTGTTTAGCAATGCATGTTCCCCCAAACAAACCCCAAATGTTCTATTACACTTTATGTTACACATTGGTCTAGGGTAGAATTTATCATTTTTCCAGATGCTCTCCTTATAACAAAAACACGCTCAATACGTCATAATAGACCCTGTACACAACTTTGAACCATCGGAATTTAATTTTGACCACAGGTTGACCGCGTTGACTCGTCAAACTCGTCAAACTCGTCAAACACGTCAAACTCGTCAAACTCTCTGATTTGGCGAATTTGTCAATTCTGAACCATGAGCATATCAATAAACACCCCGTATAACAAATTTGATAGGCAAAAAACAATCGGAGCTAACTTAATTGAACACCTTATTTTGTTTAGCAATGCATGTTCCCCCAAACAAACCCCAAATGTTCTATTACACTTTATGTTACACATTGGTCTAGGGTAGAATTTATCATTTTTCCAGATGCTCTCCTTATAACAAAAACACGCTCAATACGTCATAATAGAGAGTTTGATCAATTTGACGACTGTATTTACAATATAATACACTACTGAATTAGTCCAAATATGAATTCATAATGTCATTACATGCACGAACATAATATTATGACTCATACGTCTGTGACATCCTTGACGTACTGACCGAACCTACCGAACATGATTTTCTTTTTCGACACTCACCAGGTCCAGGAAATCTGTTTTGTTTAGGCCTTCCACTTACCCGTTTTTCTTCCACTATAGGCGACAATACCACTACATCTGCAATGAAAGATGGCAATTTCCAATCACAACAATCAGGAACCGGGTACACAGTCTATTGGTAAGCCATACGCCATGTATCTCGCCTGTAGTATTCAGAACAAAGTTCGTATATCATATCGCCTTTTCCGATCATATGTGCTGCTGCAATTGCATGACTACAAGGATACCTATCCACATCAAACATTTTGCAACCACATGTTCTTTCTCCAAGATTAACCAAGTGTCTTCTACCCTTGTCATCCCTCACCTTAAACTCGCCACTAACACCGTTCAGTTCTTGAACGTCAAATGTACATGCCTTCTGGTAACGTTCATGTAGCTCTTTGTAAACAAATGGTGTTAATTTTTGAGATTCATCAGAACTACCTGCTTCTAACCTATGCCTGTTAAACCATTCAACTGTCTTTCCGAGACAAATATCAAGTAGACTTAGCAATGGATACTTTTTTGCCTTCTTTAGTACGGAGTTGATCGATTCGGCCCCATTGGTTGTTAACATGTTGTACCTTTCACTCTTAAATTTACACCTTGCCCAATTCTCAGGTGCAAGTTCTTCCTTTTGCATGTACTCAGCCACTTTGGGATATCTACACATTATGAGATATATTCACATTAATAGCACCAGTCAAACGCGTCAAACAAGTCAATCACACTAACCACACGAAACATACCTGCTTTTTAGATCATCGTATAGGTATTCAAACTCATCAATCGTGTAGGCTGTTGCACATTTAAAGAACAATTTAGAGACGGTCTCACCATTTGAACTCTTTCTTCTACTGCCTCTATTAACGTGCACTTTTAAATTATGCGCTATGTGCCTCACACAAAAGCCGTGTTGCGCTTGCTTGTATACTTCTCTCGCAGCTTTGATTATGCTTTTATGTCGATCAGATAGCACAACTACATCAGGACCATCCGGTATTACTTCGCTTAATCTTGTCATAAACCACAACCATGAAGCATCCTTCTCTCTATCTATCACTCCCCACGCTAAAGGATATTGGTGATGATCACCATCTTGGGCGGTTGCCACAATCAATGCTCCCTTATATTGGCTCCTCAGAAATGTTGCATCAACAGCAACCACTTTACGCATATACTTCCATCCTTTGATAGTTGCACCCAAGGCGATGAAGAGGTATTTGAAAGTTTTTTTATCATCTTCAAACTGAAGACCCGCTATAGTCCCAGAATTCCTTTTCGTCAACATGTGCAACCAACCAGGAAGCCTACGATAATGTTCATCATGACTACCACAGATCTCATATTCAGCACTATATTTCCCTCTCAATGCCATCATATACGATACACTCGCACCGTACTTGACTTTCATCCGTTCTACTATCTCTTTTGCTGTGGGAGTTTCAAGCTTACCAGCATACTCTTCCTTTAAGTAATCTCTAACCAACTTCGCTGAACCTTGCACAACTTTTTTGGATTCGGATACAGGTCTGCAACTATGAACGGGATTATATGATCTTACACTGAAACGTTCAGAATTCTGAATCGCTGCAATGCGTAATTTCCAAGCACAACCCGGTCTATAAAACTTGCATCTTAATTCCCACAACCTCTTGTCAGACTTCACTGTAGCAAAACCGAAACAAGCTTTAACAGCGCCTTTCCGTACATATTCCTGAGCTGCTGCCTTATTATCAAACTCATAGCCAATACTTATATTCAATCCATCACTAAAATTGAATACTGAAAGAGAAACGATGTGTCCTCCACATTATTCTCACCATCACCATCACCATCACCATCACCATCTCCATCACCAAAGCCAACTTTATGGGTTTCACATGTCATATCAGTTGCAGGTCCCTCTTTTAAAACAATTGCATGTTCTCCATTCATTTCATCTTCTCGAACAGTAGTATGTTCATCATCCAGATCATCTATAAATTGTATCGTATTACTCGCACATTTACTCTTGAAATCGGGACTCTGAATCATATTCTTATTATAACCTGCATAAAGCACAGCCCCATATGGTCCAACACCAATACCAACACCACTACCGGAATCCGGAATGTATTGCATAACAATTTCTTGTTCACATTCACTTCTCAAATTTACTTTTTCAATCTCCACGTGAAGCATGCTTCTTCCTCCGTTTATTTTGTCCATGAGATAAATAAACACTTGCTTGTCATTCGATATGTAAATCGGCTCACATTTCCTTTGATGGACGGTAGATAACTTAGCTGAATATTTGCTTTTCCTTTGTCCACATTCATATCAGAATCTAACTCCTCAACCAGATGTTTGTATGTCAAATCTGTCGGAGGAAAAATGAATATCACACCCTTCGCATCTTTAACTTTTCCTTCCCATTCATATTCTCCACTTGCGTTCATTATCCACTTGTCACCAGACTTGTAATAAACAATTGTCATTCTTTCATCACTTGCAGCCATTTTGTCTGTACAAAATAAACACAAAATGGTGAAACTGGTTTGACGAGTTTGACGAGTTTGACGAGGTTGACTAGTTTGACCATTTCTACAAGTTTGACCAGTTGGACAAAATGGTCACTTTCACCAATGTGACGAGTTAATTTGACCAGTTTAACTGATATATATGTTACATTTGACTCATTTATATTATACAAATACGAAAATTAAAAAACCCTAAATACCTAAAATATATACCGGCTTAAAAAAAAAACTTACCTATTAACGAGATCTACGTTTATTGGATGAGTTTCTTGGAGATTTCACTTGTTTCTCGCAATAAATTTGCCAGAAAATCGCGCCGGAGAAGAGACATTCAAGAGAGAGAAGAAGAAAAACTTGAAGAGAGAGAACGCGATGTATGGCGGGAGACAACGATAAAGAGGAGAGAGAAAATGGGGTAAAAAAGTAGATCTATATTTTATTTATTTCAGTATATTATAATATTATATAAATAAAGGAAGGGTATTATAGGGATTCTACATTTATAAGGGTATATCTGATGTTGTCGTTTTTTTGTTACTGTGCAAGGGTATGGGTTGTAAGTCAAATCGACATTTAAGGGTATTTTTGCAATTGCCCCTCTTCATTGTGTTTTCCATTGTGATTCCGATGAAGCAAGCAAAGGAAAGACGGATAGATCGGAAATTGCAAAAGGGCAACAAAGAGGGTGGTTTAGGATCGTTGGTGCTCTGATACCATGAAAAAACTTCAATGATTCAGCAACCAATTTGATCTTGGAGGTTAAGAAACTCGAAGGAAAAAGGAGTTGCAGAGAGGCGATTGTGCTGTTTTGCGAAAAGAATCGCTTAGGTCTCTGTTATTCTTTCATGTCTCTTGCACAAGCTATATACAAATAGTATTACAGGATGGGCAATGAAAATGACGTTATGAATTATGGCAGATATATTTATTTAAGTCTAAAAGTAAAAGATGCCTCTTTATGGTCTTTCACTATGCTCATTAGATAAGCATAATATTGAAGATGCTTCTAGTATTCTGACGTTGCTGCTCACGTGTCCAGATGTTGGTCATTTGCTCAAATCAATTCCGGTTATCATATCTCCTATGTCCAATGTTCTCTTCGGTTTCTTATCGATGGTTTGTCCCTCAACAATACACACATCTACACGTAAAGTGTTGAATTTGTAACGTTGCTATTATTACTGCAATAATAAAGGAAAAAAGGTAACGAATCATTTGAGTATATATACATATATAATTTTCAGATTAGAAAAGTAGAAACAAGAGTAGTGAAGTATATTGGACCATTAGTACGTAATTATAAAATCTTTAAGTGAAGGGAAACTTGTACAAGTAAAACTGGAGATACACTTGGTAACTGACATCGTTTTTTCACACATCTTTTGTACATTTTCCATGGCGCCTATAGAAAAGAAGAAGGTCCTTTAAAATGTACGGAGGAGAAGGAAAAGTAAATGAAAAGCGGAATGGTCGGTCCTTAAAAAGTTTAAAACTTTACTTAGCAGAGCGGGTTTTAGTGAAGTTTCGCCGAGGACGACGACCGAGAGGAAGACGACTTTCTCTGATCGAACAACGAAAACGCTTGTTCATGGATCCTCTCATCCGTTACATTAAGAGTTTCACCGGCGTATGTTCGCTTTCTTCGATCCCTACTTTTTTTTTCTTTTTTGTTTTGGTCGTCACTTTGTCCGATTTCTCGTTAAGGCTGATGAACCCGGGCCATCGTGTCGAAGTGAGAATCTGGCCGAGGAGATGGGAATTCAGGAGAAGGTGAAGAGGTAATGGCTTCGAATTTCCCGGGGAATGCTTGCTCTTGCTTCGATTCCAGTTAAAACCAATGTTTCGTGGGAATGGACCAAGCGTTGTAGAGATTCTTTCTGATGGTTGTGCCCATGCAGTTTACTGGACTCTTTGACTCGGTGGAACTTCGGGAGAGTTAAGGATCAGCTTGTTCAGGCTATAAGTGGAGCCATGTCCCCGTCTGTTTTACAGGTTTATTTGTGGACCCGAATCCTTATTTCTTTGATTGAGAATTCCAACGCTTCTCCTTATGATTGCAGTTTCTAGTTACTTGTATTTTCGACATGGCTATAGAGGACGATGCCTTTGGCTTATTTGGTCGTTTATGCGCTGAGCTTAGCTCCGAGCTTCCCCCCATCCCATCTCATGAGGCACTTGGGAGAGACATCAGTTTCAAGAGGATACTCTTGAACAAGTGCCAAATGGAGTTTGAAACCTCGACGGACAGTTTCAAGTTCGTGGGGGCTGTTCGGTTTGTTGCAGAACTTTTCAAGTCGAGGCTCGTTACTGAAAAAATTTGTCACCGTATCATTCAGGTTCGTGATGTGCTTCTTCTCCCACTCTCAATCCGGTTATAAAATGTTGAAAGCTTTCTGTGTCTCGTACTCAGGAGCTTATCTCCTGTCCTGACGGGAGGAATCTCCAAGCATTATGTTGTTTTCTGAGTTCCATCGGGAAACAAGTTGACAGCAGCCCGAAATCCCGACGGATATTGGACATATATTTCGTCAAGCTGGAGGAAATCGTGCAAAGTACAGAATTAACACCGTGTTCGAGAGACATGATCATTGGCCTTCAGTGTCTCCGTGCCAACAACTGGGTATGTGATTTTTATTCGGATACATCTCTCACCTGTTGTTACTATCTGAATCCTGCATTTCCTGTTCTTACTTGCATATTACTTTCAGGGAACTTATTTGCGCAAAAACCATTTCGTTACTGCGGTTTACAGGTAGGAAAAGACAGAGGAGCAGAGAAGAAGCAGGAGATATCTTATGGTTCGACTTCGACGGCTAGCAATGGCAGTTCTGAAACAGACTCCTCAGAAGATTTGGGCAGTTTACTTGTAAGGGGAGCTAAAAAGGCCTTTGGTCATTTCATTTATTTATTAAGCTTTTTGTAAAAATGTTTGTGTAGGAAACTGTTAGAATCTCACAAAAATTTTGGCAGGATAAGATCCTCAAGGAGATTAGGACATTAAAACTGGATGTACGTAGAGACCATCTCTTGCGAGTCGAAGCTGAGAAAAAGGCAAAGCTATACATCTGCTCATGTCGTAACATGTGTAGTTGATAATGAGTGTGTAGTTTGAACTCTGTGATGAAATCGTGAACAGGCTGACATGCTGGAGAGGAAGTACCAAAACGAGACGAGGCTTAGGAAAAAAAACCAAGGCATGATTGCTCGAGAAAGGGCAAAGATGAGGCTCGTGCTTGAAACGTTCCGAAAAGAGCGAGACGATGCCCTCGAAATAACCCAACATCTTCTGGCAGGAGAGACAGATGCACGCCAAACTCCTCCATCGTTCTTCTGCCCCATCACACAGGCAAATGCCCGTATTCTTTTTTTATCCACACTTTGATGGTGATGATGATGCATTTTCATTTTGATCTAAAAAGTCACTTGCTTTGTCCCGCCCAGGAGGTGATGAAGGATCCACAGGTAGCTGCGGATGGATTTACATACGAAGCTGAAGCCATTAGGAAGTGGATAGACAGCGGCCACGACACATCTCCCATCACAAATCTCAAGCTCTCCCATCTTGCTCTTCTCCCAAACCATGCTCTTCGCTCTGTCATTCGGGAGGAATGGCACAAGTGAGCAAACCCTGAATATTCCCCCCCCCCTGCTTCACTGTGGAGCATATCTTATTTTGAAAACCATGCATGTATCTGATCCACTTTTGGAAGGTTCCAACTAAATTACATGACCAGTAAATCTCACTCCCATGCGGCTGCACACATACATATGGAAGAATACGTTTTCTTTGTCGCAAATCACACTGTGACTGATTAAGGTATTCATGTCTCATTTGATGGTTTTATGACACCAACACCCACCCACATGTGTTGATTGAGTTGTAAAAGAAACAGTCCCCAGCAGTAACAGAATATGTATTGAAGAAAAGGATGACGACAGATGTAGGCGTGGAGTGAAAATGATGAAATAAGAGTGGGAGATGTAGTATGTTTTTGAATTTCTGAATTATAAAAAAACAAATGTGGAGATCCCCTCGTGGTTGGCTTATTAATTTTTAGTTTTTATGACTGTTTTAATAAATACATTCGGTTGTCTTTTTATACTTAAATGCCGCAGTAAATACTAAATATATATATATATATATGAATATGGAGGAGTAGATAGTACCGTTGGCAATATATGCAGTTCGGATATATACATGCGGAGCGCACAGGTGTTATGAAAGGCATGGTAACAATTACGGGCCCACAATTGGTAATATTGAAAAAGCCCAATAGTTATTATGTAATATTTACCATTTGGGTCGGGTCTTACTAGTAAGCCCACTCGGATTTACTTGTCTATCATTCAGCAGGTAAACTTGTTCAATTATATCATCTTATTATTCGGTTTTTTATACTATTTGATTTTGTTTAGAAGTAATAAATCAATACATATATATGTGTATATAATATATTGGAATCCTGATTGTTTTGCTCAACTAATATTTAACCTTTTTTGTAATTAGTATGTGCTTTCTGAATTCCATGGAATAAACAAAAAAACATGGAAAACTTTTATAGATTATACTATTTGATAAAAATCTGTTTACTTTTTGAACACAGTACAATACATTTATAGATTATAATAATCTCAAATTGGCAAATACCTTAGGAAAAAACACACACACACACATACATACATACATATATATATATATATATATATATATATA